CAGTCCATCCGTCCGGCGTGCACAAAGGCGATTGATTTTCAGCGATTTTTGATAATTACTGCCGGAGTTATGGACCTTGATCACTTCAAAATATCTTGTGGACACTCTAGAGGTCAAATTTAATATCCGATTGACTTCAAATTTATACACAGTGTTTAAGGCCATAAGACAAAGAAGCCTATTGATTTTCAGCTATTTCCGATAATTACTGCCAGAGTTATGGCCCTTGATAACTTTGAAAAATCTTGTGGACGCTCTGGAGGCTAAAGTTGATATCCGATTGACTCTAAATTTATACACAGTGTTTAAGGTCATGAGACAAAGAAGCCTATTGATTTTCAGCGATTTCTTATAATTACTGCCAGAGTTAAGGCCCTTGATCACTTTGAAAAATCTTGTGGACGCTCTGGAGGCTAAAGTTAATATCCGATTGACTTTAAATTTATACACAGTGTTTAAGGTCTTGAGACGAACAAGTATATTTTTAATGAATCTTTATGACTTGAACAGCTAATTCCTTGATGTTAAAAGTTTCGTATACTAAACGTTAGCATGGGGCAGAACTTTATAAAAACCAAACAAATTCTAATGGTTTTCTGATAATTACTTAATGAGTTGTTACTCTTAATCAGATTTTAATGTATTATAAAATAAATGTTTCAGTATTGAAAAAAGTAAAAATATGCGACAACTCTTGTTAACTGCCCAGACGATGTTGCTGCTGTGGGCGTATGTTTCGTTGCCTGCCAACCTATCTTTGTATTTTAAATTATGTAATTCTCATGCGTAAAATTATGCTTCCAAAGAATCAAAGCAGGGTAGTCTGTGCATGTCCAAAACATGAGGCATGTTCATTAGTATATAATACAGGTTGTTTTGACTATACAGTAGAATCTATCACTTCCGACATCGTACAGGATCAATACAATATGTCGGATTATACAGCATGACGGAATACTCAATTGTCTCAATACAGGAAGTATTATTTTAATGCACCTTCGAATACCCAGAACTTAAAAAAATTATAAACCTTTCTGTACATTCAAAATTTTATTACTTAAAATCATTACGTTTTTACTTCGGGTACATACAAACCACTCGTGCGTCATTCTGTTGATGTCTTCAAATTTAGAGTTGGAGTAAAATCGTTTCTTATATCACGATATTTATATGGATCAAAAGTGATAGGTTAGTTGCTGAAACGACGAGTATTGAAGTAAGAAGTGGTACCGCCATCACTAGCCATTTTGTAATTTAGTACACAAGATATGATTGGAGTGACAAATAAGATGTATGTTTCAGCCAATGAAAAAATTGATTAGTAGGGATCACAGTACGATAGTGCCTGCCTATTATAATATGGTTTCTTATATTTTTTTTTAGGAGTTTTTAACAAGATTTTTTTATTTTCAAAAGGTAATTTGTGTTGTATGGTGCTGCACTAATACAAGGACAGCGTACATAGTTACGTTGAGTTGCCATACAAGATGGCGACAGCGCAAAGGATTATGGTTAATTCCTGTCTACATAGAACCATCTATTGAATACTTAACGGTTATGTGGAACGTGGAACTTTCTCAAAATCTGCTATAATTTGCTACTTAACATCCAATGTCAAATCCGTACGAGCACACTTTGCAGGACGATTACACATTATGAACACAATATTATAATGATAGTTATTCTTTATCTCGGCAATTTATATATAATGTTGCAGTATTTGACGTAAGAAACTCAAATGAAATACTACAAGAGATTATAAAATTATCAAGGTAATCAACAAAGAAGGACACATGTTGTAAGCTCACTGATTATTGATGGGTGATTGCTTGTCGGTCAACACCCACTGATTAAAGGCCAGATTATCCTATGTTAATTCAACACAAATCGTGAGATGGGACTGCTGATTGATGTCGTAATTCGAAATATTCAGAGTATGGACTTCTCAAAACTTTTTTGGTTGAAGTAATATAAAAATAAATCAGGACATGAAAATGATGACAGATTTCACAGAATGCAGTAGTATTCAGATGTCGGAAGTGACGGAGTCCACTGTATATTATGTAGATATGATGAAGTCTGTTATACTGTGCCAAGGGGATTATGAGTCATATTCTACCAATATTTAACCATAGATACCATCAATAAGTTACTGATCCACTCATCTAACATGTCTCAATTAATTCAACTTCCATTAATCAAGTATCTGTTAGATATTTCAACTGACAGTATCATCTCCTAACTTCATATTTCACATCTGAGTAATTAAATATATTGGGTGTTAAAAGGCAATTCCTCTCCAATAAAATAGCACACATTACAATATTTGGATATAATTAATTTACTGAAGATCTTGATGTTTAAAAAGACTTTACTTTTAATTCAAAAGCTTTCCTGTTGTTGGTTGAAAGGCTAATATAGAAATAAACAGAGACAAGTAGTCTAATAGAAAAGCATATTTGTAAAATTATTATTTAAATAAATCAATCTGAACAGAAGTAATGGCCATCTTAAGTTCTCATTACTTTCTGTCGATTTAATGCATCTGTCTTGTTTTTCTCCAAGATCATTAGCCGGTGCCTGAATGATATGTATTTTATATCCATGAACAAAAGATGGCATCAAACTTACATTTCTTGTTTCAGTTGTTTAGATTATTAATTGAAGAACTAAAGAACACATTCAAGTCCTTATTTTTTGTTAAATTTAAATAAAGAAAGTAATGATTGGCTGCATGGTGCATTGAGACATCAAGTTTTTGAAATAAATCTCTAAACAGAGGATAATAAAATAAACTGTATTTGAAAGAAAAAAAAAAATACATGAACAAAATGTATTTTTAGATTGTTGGATGTTGGGCTAATTCCAATTATTCAGATTATGACTAGGAAGCCTGAAGATAAACCATTGTTTAGATATGTTGTAAACTGTCAGCCGAATGAATATATGTTTACGTTATATGATGCTAAAATGACCTGGTAAATTTTGTCTCTGTTTATTTTAATGGAGAAGTTGGTTGGTTATTGAGATGAGAATGATGAATGTTAGTGTTGTATCAATATCAATCAAGGTGATTAGAGTATTTGTATCTAATGATTGTAATGAGAACGCAAACAAACTACAGGCCTATAGATGGTTTCGAGTTGCCATGAGCTAGAGGAGAAAACGCTAGATAACTCCAGCTTCAAGTAGCCACACTTTGCGTTAAGCACAATGTTATATTGATCAGTTAGTAAAAAGGCAGTAGCCGTGCTTACCATAATAGATAAAGACCGCTATTGTCAAGTAGCTTAGTATTTCATTTACTGACTACAGTGTTATATAATTAATAAAATGGCTGCTAATTTATATGGCTAACAAATGAATCGTATCCTTACAGCAGGAACTTTGATTAGCGTGATTAACGTGAAAATAATTACTGGTTACGCACATGTACTGCTTCTGATTGCAATTTTCCTTCGGAGAAAATTTTCCAATTTTGTATGTAGTACACGGATATCATTAAAAGCATATTTTCATAGAATTTCTCTGGTGTAGTAAATTGATTTTGCTGATAGAGCTGTTTTGTAAAGAAATAAATAATAATTTAATGCATTATTAGAAATCTCAACATGGCTACAGAATTACAACAAGCAACCCAAGTATGGCAATAACGAAATGGTACAAAAATCAATCATATTTTCTGAATATATTCAATTCATTATGTTTTTTTACATTTCAATAAATTATAAATATGCCATATATGTTAGCCTATTGCGATTCTGGAAATGAAAATGTTACAGGTGAATTATTATTAATGACATCTTGCTTATGGATTTGGTATTGTTAATGCACACTTCATTAATAATCATTCAGTGTAGTGATCATGTCCAATATGACAAATTAATATACCAAATGAATAATATGGCAAGTGAATAAAATAGATACATGTATCATACAACTATTCACAGAAAACAGAACGAATAAAACTAGGATAGGATACAGTGCAATATCATGGTTAATGACAAAACCCTTTACAATGACAAAATGGAAAAAAATTGAAGGTGTATCAGTTTAACCAAGCTCATCATTTTAAAGATAGCCACACAAAGCATTAAAATATGTCCACACAGCAGCTATGTTTCGATAAAAGGATTGCCATAGCCGCTTATCGGAAAGAAAACTCAGATGTTGACCAAATTTGATAAGGATCCTTTATTCCTTCAGGAAATCTGATGATTATAGTATTTACAAGCTTTTCCAAATGCATAATATTCTTTTGGAACAGAAAGTTCTAAAATGCTGAAAATTAACAGAGTTCATTCCCTCCGATCCCAAGACTTCACACCAAATGTGAAAATCAATAGGGTTAATCCTCAGTCTGAAAAAAACAATAGGGTTCTACTTTTTCCTGTCACAGAACTAATGCTGCATACAAATTTAGAAACAAAATGCATTTAAAACTATAAAGTGTAGCCTCATTCATGTGTACCAACAATGTTTTCGGAACAGAAGGTCACATAATGCTGAAAATAAATGGGGTTTTCCCACTCATGATCCCTTATGCTTGACTCCAAAAGTTCACTAAAACAGTAGCCTTAATTTCATTCATAATTCCTGAATACTGTAAATCTATAGGGTAAATACGCTCATGCTTAATAACCAATTTTGACAAAAATCCTTTATAAACTATAGCTATGGTTTTTGGAAGAATATCAATATGTTTTGTCTTCTCATGGCACCAATGCTATGCACAATTTTTGAAAAAAATCCATTCAAAACTGTTGTCTCTATCTCATTCACAGTGTTTTCAGAAAGTAAAGTGTAACTCTACAACAGAAGATTTCTGAATGCCGAATTACAGTAGGGTCCCCCACCTTTTAAAATGGGAGGTCCATCTGTGTGTCCATTACAATTTATTAGACACATAACTCTGCTTTTACGGTAATTGAAGTAGAATGTTCAAACTTGATGTCAATATTCATTCTGTGAAGGTGTTATATTTTAATATATATTTTCAGGTCAAGATTTGATAACCTGGATGATGAGGAATTTGGATGTTGAAGATCAAGGTAAATGCTTTTATGTAAATTACAATTATTTACAAGGTTATTTAATGAATAATTCTCAAATGATGTCTTGAAATTCTTTTAGAGATTAGAAGAAGAGATATATGCCTAGTAACATCAAAATAACTTTTTAGACAATGTAAATAAATATCATAAAAATTTTGTATATAATCAAGAATTTGTATACACTCATATTTATGAGTAGGCAGGTGGCCCCTCAAACCAGTGAAGATAGACAAACTCCTAGTAGGTTGATAAGTTAATTTATTAGTAAACGTTTCGGACTAATGGCAGGTCACGCCCAGTTTTTGCATTTAGCACCTGAAGGCCACAATTCTGAATGGATCATCTTGGAACTTGGTATACTTATTCCTTATACCCTAATTATGGCAACTAATATTTAGTCTGTAAATTTGACAAAACAAACCCAATAGCCTTCTTTGTCTCTTGTCATATTACATTCATTGTCTTGATTTTATATTTCATTCTCTTCCTTTTAAAAGTACCATATCAATCAAACAGGAATGTGGATGTATATAGGAGCGTTAGCGATGCTCTCGTTTTAACACGGATTATGCAACAGCTAAATCTGCCTATTGCAGGCGTTTCTTTAGGCCTTAAATGTTATATAAACTATTAATTAGACATTTATTAACATGACATGACCATAATCAAGTCTCTGTGCCATTGGATAAGTCTGATTTTAAGTAGATTAAAAAGGTTTAACCTTTTAATGATTTAATCTAAAAATCGTGAAGCGAGGCTAAGCTTCAACAATCAGTACGGTGGTTACAATCCGTGCACACATCTTGTCAAACCTTCAAATTTAAGGCTAATATCTTCGCTCAGAATAAAAAATTTAAATGAAATTTTCAATATATTCATTTTGCATTACCTATTTTTGAACTTTTATAGCAAGAAAGGCCATCTCTTTATCTAAATCTTATATAATGTATTTTTAAGTCATATTTTTAAAATATAATTCTAAAAAGAAGCCTTAAAACACATCGAAGCCTTGTTAAAGAATGATCCCATTAATCCTATATTTCACTAAAAAGCAATGTTGAACTTTTTTCCGGCGTTATTATTAATTTAAGTGTTAGAATGATTTCTATGATTGCATAATAGTAATTTGAGAATCTATTAAGCAATAGATATAGAAATAATTATGTTTTGACTTTCTTAGAAAATATGCAACTATGACTTTAATTGAATGCATATATATATAAATGTCTACAGTGCTCCTGTTAATACAATCTGAAAGTATTCTGCTATGTGCAGTTAAGATTACATAATGTTGAAAATGAACAATTGAAAATAAATGTAGGAAGTAAGGTTTGAAAATAAATGTAAAAAATAAGCATTTAAAAACAATCCAATGCCTCAATCCCAAAATCAATAGATGATACTTATTACTTACTTTATATAGCATTTGGCAATCAAATTGCTTATCGATACACAGCTAAGCTGAAAATGCTCATCACTGAACTTAGTCAAGGTATTGATGTAGTGAAAATATACATCAAGTTTTATCACTCTGATTCTCAACCAATCAAATTGTTTATCTCTGCTGAGCCTTAGAGGAAAATAATCATCAACACGGTTAGTCAAGACCAGTGATGGGATTTCGCCCGTATATTCCGGACATGTCCGACGCTATTTTCCAAACGTCCTAAATTGTCTGACCAGGAATATGCCCAATCGTACATCAAGACATGGTGAATAATATTCAAATTTCCAAAATTAATATAGTGTACTGAGTGTATAACTAACACTCGTTGATAATAGGATGGATTGATTAGGTAATTAAATGATCGACGTGTTTATCGTGTTATACCGTCTATACACCCACCTACCTTAATTGTCGGACAATTCATCAATCCAATCCTGAACAGAAGTCATTCCTTCTCCTTTGTCGGACTATATATCAATCCATTAAGAGTGATTATAATCTTAATCTTTTTGATTAACCCATGATTTCTCCATTGTCGAACATTTCAATCTCCATGATGTTGGCAGACAACATGTAGGAATTAGTTATATATGTCACATATCCTAATAGTATATAACACCCCAAATCAATATACATTGTATCCGATAACTTGTTTGTGATATTTCTTTGGTGCAAGCCAAAGTTAAATAAAACTATGTCACACACACGCATGGCGGTTATAGTACAATATCTGAAATGAAAGTAAAATCTTGCGAGACACTTGAAATTAAGAGATGTAAATGTGCCGAATCTCATACGTGTGATGCAGGAGAAAAGACTCTATTTTGATTGCATATTCTCGGATTTATGATCATATTTTGAATGGGGTTTATGTTTTTAAATAAATAAATAAACACACTAAGAAATGTTGACGAATATTCGATTGGAATAATGTAAGTAGTTAATTGTTTTAGACGATAGCGCATGCTAGGGTCGAATGCGATTATTTAGCAGTTGGTGTCACTCGCTCGTTGTGGTAGAGCAATGTTTACTGCCAATTAAATTTTGGGATGTCATTGTTTTACCTTCCATATATAAGTCAAAACGGAGTATAAGACGAATGCCGGACTTCTGCTGAAATATATATTGACTTATGACCCAAAAAATATGGTAATTTTGGAGGAATTTGGAACAGGTACGGATCGGCAGCAGTCTAATTTTGTAGGAATATTATTGACATTAATTTGAATACCATACGGGAATTAAACATGAAAAATAACAAGGTGCACCTATCTTTTATTACGTATGAATTTTAATATTTTGTTGACACATGATTCTTAATTGTGGATTAAAAACACCTGCTTAAATACCGATAAGAGTTATGCTCCTTTATTTTCGGGAAAAAATTGTCCCAACAAGAAAAATTTGACATTCCATCACTGGTCAAGACATTTGCCAAATATACGCCAAGTTTCGAAGTCTTGATCAATCAAATTGCTTATCACTCTGCTTAAGCAAAGCAGAAATTTGCTTTTTACCAAACTTAGTCAAGATATTGATGGTTTGAAACTCTACACTGAGTTTATTACTCACACTCAATAAGAAGCAAATTTATCATGTCCCAAAGCATCGACACCTAGACCAAGTTGGAACATTTTAACTCAATTGTGATCGAAATACAGATGCATTTTATTAGTCCCCTGGTTTCTTCAAAAGGTGAACATAACACTGATTTGCTTATGAATTCTCAGTTTTGTTTAATGACAGTTTATATGCATAAATATGCTCAAATTCTTGAATGAGGAACAGTTAGATTGTTGACTACAACCGTAACAGACAAATTCTATAGTCTGGAGGGAAAGCAATCCCTTTTCTGTCATATAGGGAAGGAAAATGCTGACATGTTGGATTTCCCCAACATCGGATGACGGAATTTGAAAATTTACATTAAAATCATGTTTGTCGACAAGAAAAGCTCTATAACTGACACATTACAAGGTATATCCAATGTATTTATAGTAACTTTATGAATTTTTCAGTATTTTGTGGAGCAGCCATATTGGAATTCTGTCATATTTGATCACTGAAAGTGAAAAAATAGTTTATTCGTGTTTGGCAACCCCGAAAATTCTGTTGAAATTTACAGAAAAATGTGCTGATCCCCGACTGAAACATTAGTGATCGATCAGATTTTTAAAAAAAAAAATGACTTTTCCAGCTGAATTCACATAAGAATCACCATGGCACATTTTTATTTAGCAAAGTATATTGTTTTGTTATTGTCACATCCATAATGATAGCTTAGTTTGTATATGTATCAAAAATTCATCAATGGTTGATTCATTTGAACATAGTGGTCAATTGAATAGGATATCTAGTGGGTTTCATGGAACCTGGATATTCTCAAACTTTCCATGACTGGATATACACCAAATATGACGTTTAACAAATTGTTCGGCTAATCATCATTCATCAATTTGTTGCAGAGTTATTGCATTTGTCACCGAAACCATGTAAAATAATTTGTTATCAGAGTTAAACTGATACATATAGTTCTTACTTAGTGATAAAAAATTGTCTATCACAGGATACCTTATCCAGTTATATTCTGATATATATAGAGTGTGTGAATTGCTTTTGTTTGGATTAGTCTGATAATACTATGGGGGTTAACAATTGGAACTATGGAGCTTATTGGCTAATGTGTGGAAAAAAATCATTAAGGTGCCAGAAGGTGTTTGCTGTGTAGATATTGTGGATTTGCTCCTTGTTCCAATCTAACAGGTCAATAATAGAAGCTGGAGGCATTCTGTGAACACTAATTATACTACAAGATGAATCTCTGTGTAACATTAGTTTCTGTTGTCCACCCCCAAGCATCCTTTCCTGCATAACATCTCAAGGACGCCATTACATAAAACATGACTTCTGTTGTCTTTTCCCATGATCAGGTGAAGACTTTTTTTATATTTGTTGGTTATTTTTCGAATACTGGTAGCTTATTTCTGATAGGTTATTAATACATGATCCTGCACACTTTCCTGTGCAGCTAACAAGTGGAAATTTTATTGTTGGATTTAGGTGAGATAGTTATATATTTTATCTCTTTAGAAAGGAAATACAATTTATTGGATGGAACATACAGAATCCATGAGATGAATCTTTCAAAATCCATCAGATGAATCTTATGCAATAAAAAATGCAAGCAGTAGTAAGTTCGCTTCCAGATGTGTAAGCTACTCGTTTTGTCCATTATTAAATCTTTCAGAGACATACCCAGTGTCTTGGAAAAACCTGATACTAACCAACAAAAGGTATAAATGAGACACGAAAGTACTGCAAAATGTAAAATATTTTATTGTCTCATTTATAGCTAATAGCTAGTGAAAAGAGGTTATTTGATTTTGGATCTGTCATTTCTGAAAGTGAATGATGAATATGCTGTCGTTTTGAGATGAGACTAGAGCAAATTTATGATAAAGGATAGTGTTTTGAAAACGAAACTGCATTCCTCAAGATGTTTGTTTGAATAGTGCAAATAGATGAATATGCTTTAAAGGTAAACGTGGCA